CCTCTGTAGGATAGAACCTAAAACCCGGTGCCACCCGATCATCCATTGCTCGTTGCAACTCTCTCTCTCTCTCTCTCTCTATAAATACCGATCTTGGTCCTAACTCAGTCCTGGGTTTTAAGTGGACGAGATAAACTCATTTTTACCTGTGTGTGTATATATAGAGAGAGAATTGTGATGGAGGTTAAGGTGCAGCAGCAGATTGGGATGGGGGAGAAATTGTGGGAGTAATGACTGGCGGCGTTGGAAATTTCGACCCGCATACAAGAGAAGGAAATAAATTGTGTTCCCATTTTATTTTTCAACGCCGTGAACGCTGCTTGAATTGGTCAATTCATCATGCAGCAGCCTCATTCGATAAGGTTTCCAACGTGAAAAGGCTTTGGAATTATTAGCAAATGAAGAAAAGTTTTCAACCAACAAGACAAAATTTGATGGAAAAACATGGGCGTCAAGCAGAAAGATGAAGTCAAGCAAAATGTGCTTCCTTGGCAAGTAAAGCAAGGTACATGCCGTGATGCCCAAGTTAATAGGTCCTCTTTTTTCTTCGTTCGTTGTCATCGTTCTTTAAGAATCTATTTAATGTAGATTTTTGAAAAGCGAAATAAAATGTCTAATTAAAGATGAAGCTCGATCAACTTATTAACAAAAAAGCAGTTTTAACGTATAAGCACGAAATATGGTTTTGGGATTGTATCTTAACACGATTCAACTTTATTAAAAAAAAAACTCTTACATATTAATTAATATTTAATTCATGTAAAATTTATCGAATAATGTTATAAATCTTATATCGAATAATGATGAATAATTAGCCAACATATGAAAGTTTGTGTTACCTCTCTTAAGAGAAATTGCCCTTTTAATGGGGAATCACAATACTTAGTGCTTGTTTGGTAGGGATTTTTGGGGAAAAAATTGATTTTTGAATAGTGATATGATGGGAAATGTGTGGTTGAAAAAGAAAAAGAATTATTGATGTGATGGAAAATATTATTTTATTGAAAAATGTGTGGTTGAAAATGAGAATTGATTTACTGTAGAAAAATTTAATCCCTCCCAAACAGGGCCTTAATATATCTCCATGAAAATTACACACATATAAA